CGTGGGGTCAGCGAGACACGGACTCGCGCAGGGTCTTCATTTAGGTGGGACACTAAACACAGAGCAGGCGGAGGGGTTGGAGCTTTCTTGGCAGCATTGGGCTGGGTTCAAACATGGGACAGTTGACCACTGCAAGGCCCCGGCTCACCGTAATGGGGATGGCCTGGAAGGCCAGTGTCCCCTACGCAGGTACACAAACAGGCTCTCTCAGACCTTGATAAAACCCAACAGCGCTACTGCCCCGACAGCACCCATGTGCTAGGCATGCTGGCCACTCCCCAGCAGGAGGTCACAGGATGTGAGGGTAGCTGCGGCCTGAGCCTCCTCCTCCTGCAGCACAGGTCTGGTGGCCAGACATGGGATCTGAGTTTCTGAGGAGCTGGCCTTTGAGGGGTGTCCATAAAAGGCCTTCTACTGAGGCCTGTGGCCTGTGGAAGTCATCCTGTACCTGGTGCCCGGATGGAAGGAGGGTCAGCACAGCCCCAACTCTGCCCCAGCCTGGCCAGGGACTTCTCTGTAGCCAGGTATAGTCTTGTGCTGGCTGCTTCCCTTTGCCAGACCCTCCCCATGTCCCCAGAGCTTGGCAAAGGCCTGTGGCAGGGGCCGAGGACTGGAGTGGCCTCCCTTTGGCCTGGCCAGCAGGTAAGTCCCGCAGCCAGCTCAAGGCCCACAGGTTGGGCAGACCTGCTGGGGAGGTGGGCCTCCACCCCACCCTGCCAGCCAGCACCCCCCCTTGCCCCACCCACCTGCAGGGACCTCCCAGCCTGCTGTGGGAGGGGCTGGGACACTGTTGCCTAGCAGCTCTTTGTGGGAAGGCAGTTCATGCCTCTGCCTCGCGGGGAGCATCTCCGTCCCCTCGTTTATTGTCTGCCCAGAGCTGGTGCAGAGATGGGACCAGTGTGGCAGGGAGGCCACACTTGGAATTGTGTGAGTGCCACAGTGTCTGTGTCCCCTGCAATGTCACCGTGGGGTTGGGGACAGTGCTGAATCTCTAGGGCCTGAACACGTGTGCTCAGTGAATGTCTGCATGTTGAGCTTCTGTTCATCAGGGCTTGGGGCCTACATGGCAGAGCGACGTTCCCAGGGTCCTTGTGGCCTTGGGGGACAGGGGCGCTGGTGGGAATCGAAGGGGACAGGGCAGGGAGGGCGCGTTGGGCTGGCCAAGGCCCGAGGACCTCCCAGCTGCCCTCTGCTCCTCTCCTCATTTAGATTCTGGCTTAACCTTGGGAACATTGGCCACTTGTACGGGGACAGGAAGGGGTCAGAGATGCTCTGGGAAGGAGGCACTGACACTCCTGTGCCTCTGGCAAGCACCCCCGAGCCCTGTGACCCTGCCGGGTCTAACTGGCCACGCTGCATCCCTGGCCCCAGACTAGGCTGGGCACACAGAAGCTCCCCAAGGAAACTGGCACCAAGGCACCTGCGGAGAGGGGTGGGGGTTCCATCTTATGTGATTGGCAGGTGGTCACAGTTGAGAATGTATGGAGGGCTGGGGTGCAGTGTGGTGGTAGGGTACCCCCCTGGCCCACAGGAGGCCCTGGGCTCCATGTCCAGCACGGCTAAGCTGGAAGGTGAGCACTCATGTGTGACGGGCTCACTGGGAGCCGAAGGTGTGGGCATGTTTCTGTGAACCCAGAGTGTGTGGGAACGTGGTTCCCTCTGGGTGGGTCCAGCCCTGAGTCACGGAGTCACAGAGGTCCAGGAACCAGGGGTTCGTGGTCCCCAAGTGTGGTGACGCACTGAGGAGGTTTCCCAAAAAAGTGACAGAGGAAACTGTCCCCACTGCCTGGGAAGGCCTGTGAAGACAGGGCAGTTTCTCTTTCCCTCTGACTGGGTGGTAAATTCGGGCCAGCCCAGCAGCCCACGCAGCTGGGGATCTCTTTCTGAAAACAAGTAGCCCACTTCCTACAGGCAGAGACCCAGGTGCGGGATGAGTCAGGATGAAAGGAGGGTGGCTTTGGAGATTCTCCTCCTGAGAACCGGCCCTGGGGCTTCCTAACAAGAGCAGCGGGGCACCGCTGCTTCGAGACCCTTCCACCCACTGGGGTCAGTCAAGGTCACTGCAGCACAGAGAAGGAGACGCTGTGGAGGCTGTTTCCAGGGGGAGCCCAGTCCCTCAGCCAGCCCAGAGCCGCGCTTGGCTGCTGACTGGATTCAGACACAGTGACTTCCTTGGTGTCAGTGTTCAAAACCCTAACTTACGGACAAATTTGGATTATTAAGTTGAATCAATCGTTTTTGTACAATAACAAGAATCAGAGTCCTTTTGAAAAGAAGTTGTTTCTTTATTCCAAACTTTTGTCCCCTCCCCCATTACAAAAATAATAATTGGATTGTCCCAAAGATTCACACAACACCCCTGAGCACAACAGTATTGGAAATCCTCCAAAGCCACAGCCAGGAATGGCTGCATAAACCCCTCGAGACTTCACACACACACACACACACACACACGAACCCAGAAGCCTTGATAAATTCTTAGAGAACACAAATCAAATTTGTAAAACAATTAATCTTCTGTATTCTATATATTATGTATTAAGCATTTTCTCTATCATATTCTGTATTTATAAGATTTCAATTTTCGGTTTGAAAAAGCTATGTGCAGACAGAAGTCTGGAAGAATGAGAAACTTTTAAACACGTGCTTTGATGATCTGCAATGTTCTCTATTAGGATTTTTTTTTAAAAAAAATGTTTTAGTTGTAGTTGGATAATTCTTTCTTTCTTTTTATTTGATGCTGAGCATGGAACCCAGGGCCTCACAGGCTGAGCCCCAGCCCAGGCTCCTCTGTTTGGATTTTTAAATTTCTTGTGACTCTTCCTCTACATCCATACCGTGGAAGGCTCACCTGCAGCTCAGCAAGTCCCCACACTGGATGCCCTCCTGCGCCTGACCCCCAGCTGCAGAAGCAGAGCCCCCAGGCCTCCTGCTCCCTCCCAGGGCAGCAGGAGGCTGGCCCTGGTGTCTGGTTGGTGCTTTGCCCGGGCCTGTTCCCTGCCCTTGGGATACAGGCAGGTGAAGTGGCTGTCACTTGGGGTCTAGCCATTCCTGGCAGCTGTCTGGACCCCGTGAGGCCGTATTGTCATACTGCTATCTGGTCCCTTTGATGGGCATTCAGCTTGTTCCCAGCTGGGGCCTGAAAACCAGGAGCACATGAACAATCTCATGCGTGTTCTTTGTACATGTCACTTCTGAAGTGTCCTGGGCAATGTGTGCCAGGCAGAGGATGGCAGTTGGTTGCTTGTGCATGTATCTTGCCACAGTGTCCCCAAGATGGTGGCTGCAGCTCAGTGTCTTCCTCAGAACCCAAGCCAGGTGCTGGGTGCAGACTCCTCACCGCAGCCCCCACCGATGCGCCAGGCTGCTGTGGCTCCTGGGCGGCCAGAGCTGAGCCTGCAGGTGGGTGCCTGTGGCCCGGAAGACAGACGGGGGCAGGCCGGTCCCAGCGCAGCCATTGCAGCAGCAAAGCACAGACAGCAGCAGGTAGCCCTGGGGCCAGGGCCTCCGGCCTGTTCTTCCTTCCGCTGCTTGCGGCCGGTGTGTGCTCAGTCTGGGCCTCAGTCTCTCATCGCTCACACAGGAGGCCTGGCCAGGGCCTGCCTGACGAGGGACGCGGGTCCAGCCATCCCGAGCCTCTTACCTCTCCCCTCAGCCATGGAAGGTGGCCCGTCCCTGTTCCCAGAGCTGATGGGTAGGAAGATTCGGCTCCTCTGGAGGTCACTGCGTTTGCGCCCTCCTTGCCCCCGGCCCACGCGCAGCCCTGCCCCCAGCCACCTGCGTCTCAGATGCTGGAGGGGATGCGCTGCCCCCCCCCCCGCCCCCCAGCCGTCTTTTCTTTCCTGTTTTCTGCGACATGTTAACATTCTGTGGCTGCCAGAGGCCTCTGACCACAGCTGGTGGCCCACACCCTTCTCTGAGCAGGCACAGAGAAGCAGGTGGGCTAGGTTCTCCGGGTTGGGCGGAGGAGGCCTGCTCACCAGTCCTGGGCCCTAGAGCCCCGGGCAGGACTAGAGGACACACAGGGACCTTTCCAAAATGCCCAGGTCCTCCTCTGCACCCAGCTCGGTGTTGCCTGTCCTTCCTTGGCCACCAAGGCTGAGGGACCAATGAAAGGTGGGCAACCTGCTGTCTCTCCCTTCCCAGGTGGCCCGAGGCCGGCAGTCCCTGGGGCTCAGCCCTCAAGAGCAAGAGCAGTGAAGTCACTTAGCCAGGAGGTGCTGGCCTCTGGGTGTCCCGATGCTCCCTGCCCCCAGTCTGTATACCTACTGCTGGCTACAAACGTGCATCTCAGATGTAAAATGAGGACGTACAAATCACATCCTTGTTGTTTCTCCTCAACTGAGCGTTAGCATTCTCCTGTAAGTGGCTCTTGTCATAACAGGAGTCACTGCATCTTTAACCCAGGACTTTATTTTTACAACTGAGATATTTTCATAAAAAGGGCAGAGAGTAAGAGAAGAAATAAACAAGCCATGGGAGAGGAGACGTGAGCCTGAGAAACTCCCTTGTAGAGGGGAAGGCCTCAGAGACCAACAGGGCTGCCGGGAGCCTTCGACATAGCTGGCCTCCCACCATGAGGGCAGGGAGGACATCGGCCTTGGCCTGGGAACGCACAGGAGGCCATCCCAACTCCATTCCACGAGCCTCAGGAGCCAATGTCACCACTCTGCCAGGAAAAGCAAGCGGCAGCAATGGTGGCTTACTGGGCCCCACCAAAGCCCAGGCGGGGGAGGCAGGAGCCAGAAGAGGTGCCTTGGTGGTGTTGCTGAGCGCCCGGCCAGCTCGGTGGGGACCCGGGGCCTGGGTCCTCACAAGCTGCTCCCACATGCGAGGCCTGAAGAAAGAACTTGCTGTAGTTAAAAGCGGGTGGCTCAAGAGGGTGGTCATCAAGAATGTGGTGGTCAGCAAGAATGTCCCTCTCCCACTTGTGTGGACTATTGCTGACCGATGTCTGTCTCCTCATGTTGGTGCAGTCTGCTCACTTGTAAAACCTGAAACAGGAAGGGGTGAGACGCTCAGCAGATGACAGACGCAGGCCAAATGTAGTAGCCAGGGCCGTGGTTAGTGTGAGGATGTTCTTAGGGCACTGCTGGGTCATTCAACAAAACTCGAAAGCTCAAAGTCCCAAGGATCAGAACCCAGAGCACCCGGCCCAGGGAACCCCAGCTCCGAGGTCTCACTTCCTCCGGGGCCTCTACAAATGCACAGTGAGGGCTGGACACACTGCCTGACCATGGCTCTTCCCACAGGTCGGGGCTGCGGGGCTACAGGACATGCGACTAAGCCACAGCTGGAGGTTGGAACACCTGCTCTGTGAGGCCCAGGGACTCCTCACCATACCTGGATCATGACAGCAAGACCAGAGGCAGTTTGCAAGCTTTTTTAGCCACAAACCTTTTTGTTCAGATGACATCTTACAAGAACATGTAAACCCAGGCAGTAGATGAGAGCAGAGCTGTTTCAACTGAGGAGGGTGAGGTGGGCGCAGTGGCCCTGTGACCACCAACACTCCCTCCCTCCCTCCGCTGGTGCTAGGAACCCTGGTTTGCCAAAGCATGAGGTCCTGCCTCTGGCTCATCCAGAACTGATTTCAGGTCACTGGGGAACAAGTTAAAGCAAGAGAGTCTGGGGACAGATCACAGGGTGTGCCCAGAGCGGGGCTCCGTTCTTCTTAAGAGGCCACCATGGGAGCTGGGTGCAGGGACACACACCTGTAATCCCAGCAACTCTGGAGGCTGAGACAGGAGGGTCACAAGTTCAAGGCCAGCCTGGGCAGCTTAGAGAGATAAAGTAAAAAGGGCTGGTGTCACTCAGCAGTAGGGTGCTTGCCCGGCACCTGCCAGGCCCTGGGCTCCATCCGCAGCAGGAACAAAAATAAAAAACCCAGAACAAACAAAAACAAACACAAATCATGTGGGGCATTTTGAGCGGACTTCTTGCTGGAGGGCTGGCCTTTGGCAGATGCCCTCAAGTTATCATCCCTGAGGTTGACAGGTTTCTGAATCCGACCCCTGGGTGAAATCGCCCAGCATGAGACTCATTGCAAATCACCTGCAAGACGTAGCTGGCTCAGGGACCCGGCGGCCTTCAGGGCCCTTTGACACACAGCCTGTCCTGGTACTAGGTGGGGTTACAGGTAGCAGAGGGGAGGCCAGCTCTGGGCAGGGAAGCAACTATGGAGGGGAGGCCCACCTCCCCTGATCTGCAAAGTGGGGTGATGGCCCTCCTCTCACACAAGCCCAGGTGAATGGAGCTGGGACAGAGCCTGGGCTCCCCAGCCCCCTCGTGCTCTGCCTGCAGGGTTGATGGGTGCAACCCACAGAGCTGAGAGCTAAGCACTCCCCCACCTGAAACACCCCGAGTGGTGTCTGTGTTCCTCTAGGTCACCCCTCTCTCCCCCTCTGTTTGTGGCTCTCTGCAGGTGACAGCTGATTCTGCTCCCAGCTGCAGTGGGAGACTGTAAACGGGGCAAGGCCCAGTGTCCAGGGCCACACGGGCCTTCAGGGCCCTGTAAGGAGCCCCACACACTCACTGTTTTATGAAGCGAAGCCGGGTTCTCCTCTGAAGACCTGGAAGGGAGAGCAAGGAGCTGGTCAGTGCAGGCTGTGGACCACTAGCACCGACCCAGAGGACCATAGGAGGACAGGGCTGGCCAGCACCTCAGGCCACCTCTGCACAAGGCTCTATCTCCAGCCCCTCACACACCCGTGGCCCCTCATGCTCACTGAGAACCTGTCAGGTGGACGCTACAACTGTCCCGTTACCCATAGGAGCTGAGGCACAGGTGAGGGGGCCACTGAGTGGCCTGCCCAGGGCCAGGCAGGTGTCAGAGGACATGCAGGTCAAATGGGAGAGGTGGCTCCAGACTTCCTGGGGGGTGGGAAGGAAGCCAGAGCAAGCCCCTCGTGTTTGATCTCCCCATCGTTACTTTGACCTCCAAAGCCCACTTAGAAACACCTGGGATATATTGATAAATAAACTGGGCAATTGTAGTTAATGAGACCAGTTTTTAAATTTTTTACTGATAAGGTCCTTAATCAGGAAAGTCTGCAGTCCCTGAGCTTCAGGGGGTTCTGAGAGCAGGGCATGCAGACCCACTGCAGGGAGCAGTGGTGGGCAGAAGAGGGTCCACAAGACATCACACCTCCCCAGGGCTCAGTGACCTGTACAAGTTAAGGGCTGTGGTCCAGGCCTTGCCTCTAATGTGCCACCCTGCCTGTCTTACAGAAGCTCAGAGAGGGGCGGCCATGTGCCCAGGGCAGCACAGCTGGAGGAGGGCAGCCTAGGTCTCGCCTCCCCAAACCCTTAGTAGGAGCCTGTGCTGGGTGGAGCCTGGGAGCCCAGAGGGACCAGGGGAGCTGCCTCCCTGAGAGGGAGGACTCAGGAGCATTACTCAAACCTCACCAGCGGTCTCTCCTGGGTCCTGGGCCCGAGCCTCCACAGCTCACGGGAGTCCCCGCTTACTGAGCACATGCTGCCCACCAGGCACTCTGCGAGGGAGAGGCCAGGCCCAAGGCCAGTCATGGGTGAGGGTGGCAGCACTGGACTCAGAGCCAGGTCGGCCTCACTGAACAGACGGCCGCCTCTGATGCAGCATGGCTGAGGCCAAGAAGGCCTCTGGCCGGGTGCTGCCCAGCAAGCCTGAGGCCTGGGTTCCCTCCCCAGCACCAGGGCCACGGGGTGGGGGGACAAACAGGAGAAGGGTCACCTCGGAGCGCCACAGGGTCCCTGGGGCAAGTCCCCAGCAGGCCCTGCTCCCCCGGAGAAGAAACCACCCTAGAGCCACTGCAGACCCCAGTAGGCCCCCAGCCAGTAGAGGAAGGGCCACTCACAGTATAGGTGGACGGCCACGCCCAGGGACACCAGCAGGACCAGGATGCCGGCCACCAGCAGGCTGAGGGTGACAATGCCACAGGGCAGACCTGGAGAGACACAGCCATGCTCAGCCCTGACTCCATAGGTAGGACATGGGAGGGAGGGAGCTGGGGGCCCAGCTCAGGCCCAGCCCAGGGCCACCCCAGGGCCCATCCTAGAAGCCCAGCCCAGGCCCAGCCCAGGGCCACACCAGGGCCCAGCCCAGGCCCAGCTCAGGCCCACCCCTGGCCCCCTGTGGGTCTCCTTCGAGGCCTGTTTGTGTGCACTTCAAACCTCTGAGGTAATTTTGTATAAAAATTCCATGTTTCACATCCAAATATTTTTTAAATTAATTAAACTCAGGAGGTCTCTGTGTTCCAAGGAGGTAGACAATTGTCATGTATGGAAACGATGTTTTCACTGCATATTTTAAAAACCTTTGTTTGAATTTCATAAGAAATAGCTGACTGTACTTTCTTTGTACAGGTTTAAATGGGTGGTTAGGGTGCCCCTTGGCACCCTGGCTCCTTTGATAAGTTTGATTATCACCCTTGATAATTTGGTGGTCTTTCTTTTCACACTTATGCATACATGATTTCCACAGATACTTAAGGTTTTGTTTTTTTTTAATGCAGTGGATTCCACTGTACAGATTATTCTGCAAGGGCTTCGCCCTCTTCATCTGATCACACAGCACGTTCTTTTCCCCAGCAATTGATACGTGACTGTATGGATAGGCATGGATTATTTAGCCATGAGTGTGCAACTGGACCGATTCCTGTGTTTTACAAGCAACCCTCGGAGAACATCCTGGTATGTTTCCTAATACGGATGTCTTCCTGAGCAGATACTGAAGATGGAAATTACTAAATCTTAGACTCCCTCCACCTTAAATTTTTTAGGGGTGCTGGGGATTGAACCCAGGGGCACTTTGACACTGAGCCACATCCCAGCCCTTTCTATTTTTTACTTTGAGATAGGATCTTGCTAAGTTGCTTAGGCCTCACCATGTTGCTGAGGCTGACTCTGAACTCCCAATCCTCCTGCCTCAGACTCCTGAGCCCTTGGGAGGTGGTGTGCATCGTGGTGTGCACTACCATGCCCAGCTCATGTATGAATTTTCTTCTGTGAGCTGGCACTCTGTTCCTTTGCCCATTTCGCATATTATTTAAGTAGCAGAGGTTGGGTTTGTTTGTTTTGTTTTTTTCTGTGCTGGGGATGGAACTCAGGACTTCAGGCATGCCAAAGAGCACTGTACCACTGAGCTATACACCCCACCCAGGAGCAAAGCTTCCATTCTTAAAGTGATGCCCCAAACCCTTCTCCAATACCTGTCGGGACCTGTGGTTGGTCCCTCTAGTAGCTGAGGTCTAGAACTGAGGCACAAGGGTGACGGGGCAAGGCTGCATATTTTGGGCTTGAGGTTAACAAAATTAGGAATCATCTTAGATGTCAGGGAGGAGGGAGTTTGTACTGAATGCAGCGTGCCAAGGGCAGACTAGGTGCAAGCCCTCATCTTGTGGGAAAGGAACGTTTTGAGGCTCATAAAACCAAGATTCAAATAGGTTCAATCATAAACCTGAGGTTACCCAGCTTCTATGAGGCAGGACCAGGTGCAGATACCGGTCATCCGAGTTCTCAAGCCCTGCCTGGCCCACCTGTGCTGCCCGAGCTCCTGGAAGGGAACCTGCCATCGCTGGGAGGGCACAGGCCAAGGCCAACGACGGGGACATGGAGGCTCCTGCACAGGCAACGGGTTGGAAGAGAGGCCCAGCTCTCTCCAGGTTCCTGCCCGGCTTCCACTCACCTTCTCCAGCTCCCCTCAACTTGATGAGCCTCAGAAATGTGGCTCTGGGTGGAAGCAGCCAAGCGTGAGACCAATGGAAGCACCCAGATCGTGTAGTTATGTTTATACGAACTGCCAGGGGCACAGACTGGGGAGGTGGAGAGGGACTCATGGTTGCCAGGGGCTGCGATAGGAGGACACCAGCTCTGGACACGTGCAGGGTCTCACTGGGTCCTGAGGCCTCCTAAGGCTCAATGGTGGTGCACTATCCTGAGTCCCATGCTCCAAGAGTCCCCAAGTTCGCATGCTTAATGTGGATGTTATGGTTGGCAGACTATAACCCTGACGGTTTTCAGAAGTCCTGGAGGTGGCCTCAGGGCGCCTGAGGATGGCCGCCTGGAAGCCTTCCTGTGGAGTGGTCACTACCTGCTGGAGCTGCTGTGCAGCTGGGGTCATGGGCTGGCTGAGCCAGGGCCCCACTGGGCTGCTCCCTGTGTCCTGCTCCCTGTGTCCTGTTCTGTGGTAGTACCATCTGCCTCAGGGCCTCAGGCCAAGTTGTCAGGGCCTGGTGCATCATGGACCTAGGCCACTCTGCCCCCCTTTCTATTCCAGAAGCTTTGCCCGTCTGCACAGGGGCTCTGATTTCCCTGAGCTGAGCCCCAAGTCCTGTGGGTGCCCCTCCTCAGCCCCTGTCAGGCACTCTGTATGGTAACAAAAGCCACCCACTACAGAAGTCAGTCCCGTGGGGGTGGGGATGCTGTGGCTTGTCTCTGGGAAGTGGCAGATGGTACTTTCTGTTTGTCACCAGTTACTTTTAGGGTCTGAGGCCGGTAGTTTTCCAGAAACACGTTTGGACTGATGATCAAGAAAAGTGTGTGGGTGGACACGTTGTGTGCGTGTGCCACTTCAGCTATGGGGTCTGGTGCTTACAGCATAGATGGGCCGTTCTGTCCACTCACTGACCAACAGACAGTGAGCCCATCCCATGTGTTAGGTCCTCAGTTAAGCATCAAAATGGGGAGAGGGGCTGGGGCGTGGCTCAGTGGTGCAATGCTTGCCTAGCACATGCAAGGCCCTGGGTTTGATCCTCAGCACCACGTGAAAACAAACAAATAAATAAAATAAAACTATTGTGTCCATCTACAACTAAAAAACAAAAAATAAATGGGGAGAGTTTTAAAGCTTAAAGTGTGGCTGAGGGTGACAATGCCACAGGGCAGACCTGGAGAGACACAGCCATGCTCAGCCCTGACTCCATGGGTAGGACACGGGAGGGAGGGAGCCGAGGGCTGGTTTTGTGCGTGTGTGTTTTTGTTTTCTGTTAGTGCTGGGGATTGAACCTCTGAGCTACAATCCTTAGCCACATCCCCAGCCCTTTTCATTTTCTATTTTGAGACAGGGTCTTGCTAAGTTACCCAGACTGGCCTTGAATTTGTGATCCTCGTCCTTAGCCTTCCGAGCTGCTGGGATTATAGGAGGGTGCCATAGCGCCCGGCCTGGGTTGGGTTTTGTTGAACAGTCTTTCTGAGGCACAATCTGCGTATCATAAAGCCCCTGTTCCCAGTGCACAACATGGTGGCTCTTTCCATCTTGGTAGAATGATGTGACCATTACCATATTCTCACTTTTGTCCATACCCCCAGAAAGAAAGAAACCCTGCACCCCCAGGAATTGCTTCTCCGCCTCTCTGTCTCTCTCCCTCTGAGCTGCATCCTCGGGCCACTCCCCAGGTCACTCTCCAGCCCTCCCTGGGTGGCCGCTCACCCGCCCTCTGTTCCTATGGAGTGCCACCTGCACATTTCATAGCAGGGCATCGTGTAGCACGTGGCCTTCTGGGACTGGCCTCTTCCACTGTGTAGCAGTTCCAAGGTCCAGCCAGGGCACCTATCAGCTCTTGGTTCTTTACGTGGCCGATGTGCTGCTGTAACAGAGGCCATACTTTATCACATTCATTAGCTGGTGGACATCTGGGTTGTTTCTGCTTTCAGCCAAAATGAACCATCGTGTGCAAGTGTTTTGGTGGTAGATTCTCCCTGGGGTCTGTCTGTGATGATTTGTGAGTCTGACCACTGGACAGGGAGCTGCTATTGCTCAGTGTCCCTTCTGGACCCAGCTCAGGCTGGGGAATCAGGCTACAGAGTGGACACTTGGCAAAGGCTTGGAGGAAGAAGGAGGGGAGGAGGGAGGGGAGGAGGAGAGGAAGGTGGGAAGGAAGGAGGGGAGGACGCCTGCCTCATTCTGAGGGTGCTGGGGATGGAGACTCACCCTTCTGGGCCGTCAGCTTAGGGCGCTGGCAGGTTCTTTTCTTGGGGATGGACTTACTGGTGGGCTGGGCAGTGGTGGGAAGAGCATCGACTACAGAAGGAAAGCAAGACACACCCGAATCAGATAAACAGCAGGTGGATGTAGAGACAAATTCAAAGCTGCCTACATCATAGGCACAAAAGTCCCTATGATGGTCCCCTGGGCTGTCACAGGGATTCAAGTGACAGAGCAAAAGAATTTTGATCCTTTTCTGGAATCTCAGATGTATCTGAGGCCCAGGAATGGGGGCCAGCTTTGGGTCCTGCAGAGAGGGGCTCTGCAGCCCCCAGACCTGAGCAGAGCCAGCACCCTGGTCGGCTACTGTGAGACGGCCACCATGAGATGTGGGAAAGCCCGCACACTCTCTGGGCTTCAGCGTCCCCACCTGCCACAATAACATGACTCCACCTCCTTCTCAGGGTCGCTGTGGCTGCAAAGTGTGTGAGGGCTGCCTGGCAGGAGGCCGTGAGCTGCCATCAGAGTCCCCAGGCCTTGGCACAGCCACCCCTGAGCCAGCAGAGAGGCTCATGGGAAGGGGCCACCCTGCTCCCTGACTGAGCCATACAGAGCACCTGTCTGGGATTTCTCTCCCTCTCAGCTGTCCTTGAAAGTCTAAGGGGACCTGTAGTCTCCACTTCAATTTCAAAGGTGAACTCCAGCAATGGGGGCTGGAGGAGGCCTTGCAGGCCAGTGCTGGGCTAGGCCCCCAAGCACCATTGCCCTCCTTCCCCAGGCCAGTGTCCCCTGCTGCAGGGTTGGGAGAGGGCAGTGAGGCCACCCCCAGAGGGAAGGGAGACCCAGGGTTCTGCAGAGCTGAGCGAGCCGTGAGCGAGCATGGCGGCCACCAGCCCTCGCCCCCCTGGGCCGAGGAAACTCCTCAATGAGGCCATCTTTTGGCAAAGTGGTAAGACGAAGAGGGAAGCAAGCTGAGCGTGACCTCCAGAGCCGGGGGAGCAAGGAGGGGTGGCTGGCAATGGTCCCCATGGGCTGGCACCTTCCATACGCAGAGAGGACACGGGGCCTCTTCTCCTGGGCCTCCTCTGGAAGGTGGAGGACGCGGCAGCTTTGTCTGCTCTATGGTGTTCCTGGGAAGAACTGGGGAAACTAGAACAGACTGTCCTGAGCTCCCTGGCGCTTCAACCTGAGAGGACGGCCCCTGCGAGCCTGGGCCTAGCGAGCAGCTGAGGAGGCCTCTGCTCAGAGGCTGTAACAGCTTGTTCAGACCAACCGGGGAGTCAGGATCTGAACCCAGAGCCTGGTTCCACCCCAGCACTCCTCTTGCACCACTCTGCTCCGGGCACCAACGTTTTCTGACAAAGGTGGAACACTTAGGCTGACCTGAGCCTTAGGTGACCTGAGTGTGCTGGGGACCACGGTAAGAGGATGAACAGCGGGCTCGGCGCTTGTGGCCCGAGAGCTCCACTGGCCTGCAGGCAGCCCCTCAGCTGGAGCAGGAGCCCGGAGGAGATGGGGCTGGCACCACGGACCTGGGCCTTGCTGGGGCTTGGGGCGGGGGCTTGTTCTGTTTTAATTCCTTCTTGCAGAGTCTCGTTCTCCTCAGCTGCTCTCTCTCTCTCTGGCCTTGGAAGGCGCAGGCCCTTTGAGCCCTGGGACACCTCGAGGCCTGGTGACAGGCCTCTCCACCACCCAGGCTTTTCTGACACACAGGACCTCGGCCACACAGGTGGGTGCTAGCTCTGCACACCTGGGCTCTGGGGAGCTTCGGGAGCTGTGGCCAGTCCTGGGAGGTGAGCAGTGGCTTTGAAGCCAGGTGTGGGGGGTGGGGGTTGAGGTGGTGAGAGGTTTCTGGAAAACAGTGGCACACGCACTTACTCCACAGAGACTGGAGTCTCACGGTGGGGAGATGGGGGCTTTCAGAGCCAAGGCTGTAAACCAACCGCAACCCAACCCTCAAGCCGGGTTTCAACACTGTTCCCCGAGGAGGCCTTGCTTCTCGCCCAGAATCTGACCCCAGGCTGAGGACAGGCATCGCATCACTCTGGCTTTTGTCTTCCTAACTCAGCCACTGTCCCCAGCTGTCCTGCACCTTCTTATGCTGAGCAGTGTGATTATTGGGGTTCCCCAGTCCTGCTCTGCACCCCTGGTGGGTGGAAGCCGTGGGAGGCCCGACCACAGGCTAAGCTGGGGAAGGGGCCACAGCCAGGTGCAGGCCTGAGGGAATGTCCACTTCCCTCTCCGCCAGCACAGCAGCCCCTGGCCACGTGCGGCTGGGTGTGTGCCAGTCTGGGTGGACACGCCACAAGCATCAGTACACCCTGGCACTCAGTGTGAGCACGCTGTGAACTGCGCGATCGCTGAGTAAAACGTCACATAAAGTCTTCCACTTGTTTCTTTTTACACTTTAAAATCTGGCTGTTAAAATTTTAACTTACACCCGTAGCTTACAGTATGCGGCCACTGGACACTGCCTTAACTCAGGGCACTGATGCTTCTCAGGCCTGAGGGGACACAAGGCCGTCAGCAGCCCCCAGAGCAGATGAGGAAACTGAGGCCAGGAGGGAGCGGACTGCCCAAAGGCACATGGCAGATTCACAGCACAGCTGGGCCTGGGGTCCAATTTCCTTCGTCTCTAAACTTCAAGTGCGGGCTTGAACCACAGGCCCCACAAAGAACATTTGGGGCATCTGCCCCTCCATTACCCAGACATGCTTTTGTTGAGTGTATGCAGGCGATGGGAAGCTTCTTTCCCTGTCTGCACACTTGGGATCCTGGGATTCATCCCCATCCAGCCACCACCAGGTGGGCCTGAAGGACAGCACTGCCCTGTCCCCATAAGAAGCATGGCCCCTGTCTCCTTCAGGCTCATCTGACTCCAAGTAAGATGGGAGTGGTGAAATGCCCCCAGCTGGGTGGGTACAGTACTGAGTGACACCCTGTGGGAAACGTGGCGGGTGCCTGCCCTGGCCAGGCCCGCACGCGCCCTCTGTGATGCCCAGCTCTCGGTCATGGCTGCAGAGTAGGCTCCCAAGAGTGGCCAGCCCAGAGCGCCGTTCTTACCCACACTCAGCCGAGTTCCCTTCCCGAAGGTCAGCTCAGGGGCCCCGACAGTCATGCAGAAGTAGACGCCACTGTCCGCAGGCCTCACGTTCGTGAGGTTGAGAAAGTGCCCGGTGGCATTTGAGAACGGAGTCAGCTTCTCCTTGGCCACTGCCTCTCCATACGTCGTCTCTTTTGGGGGATGCCAGGAGGCCAGGAACTGGTACCAACTGTGCTCGCTGGGGGGCTGGGGCTGTCGCAGCCAGAAGACACGCACTTGGCTCAAGGAGGTTGTGGTCTTACAGGACAGTGTCACCACTTGGTGGGTCAGAGCCACCGTGAACCCAGGGGTCTGTTGGAAGGCAGAGCCGCCGTGGAGAGCTACGAGAGACCAGGGGGCAGAGACCATCAGCACATGTTCTGGCCACCATGTGAGGCCTTAGTCACACTGAGCCGGTGCCCGAGGGAAAGCCATGGAGAACCTGTCCAGAGACAGGGCCCAGATGTGAATGTGATGGGTGCCTCTGCACTCAGAGCTCACACATCTCACCACCCAGTAGATCGGCTGCCAAGTATTTCCTGTGCCGAGCTTTACCATAGGCCCAGGAGAGACAGCGGCCAGTTGTGGGTAGCACATGGATATGCTGGCCCTCAACCTGGCTTCAGGAGTTTAATCTCCATTGCATAGAGGAGAAAAGTTGGCCATGAAGGTACTTTTCCAAAGTTACTTGCAAGTGGCTTTGGATTCAAACCACCGGATCCAAAGTCTGAGTCAAAGCTGGGGCTACTCTATGCTCAGGCCTCAGTAGCTCAAGCCACTTCAGGAGAGCCGGGAGAGACTGAGTGCCAGGCAGAGCCCACAGCTGGTCTGGACGAGCTGAGGATAGCCACCACTCTGGACAAACAGCAGAAGGGGCTCACTGCCCCAGTGGCCACAGTTGTCCCCATCACTCCCAGCTCAGCGATCCACGGTCGCAGAACCCCGTTCTGTGTGGAAGGACGCACCCCAGGAGCAGCGTGGGTGTTCACGTGAGCCTCCCTGCAGGTGGGGCTTGTCCACCAGGAGCTAGAGGGGAACTCGAGGCTTGGCAGGAACCTGCCTCTGCTGTGGGCCATCTGTGGGACCGAGTCTAGGCCTGAGACGCCGTGAGGGAGGTGGCTTCCCGCGGCTATCTTGTAGCAGGGCCCAGCAGAATCAAAAGCCCCAACTTGTTTCCTTCCCCTTCTTCCTGGTGAGAGTTGTTCTCTCTGGACTTCCTATTGCTGAGAATGGGGACTGAAGAGCCACCCCTGGCCCAGGCAAGACGGCCTGTGACGACCTCTCTGGCTAGCACAGCCTTGCTCCATCCCCAGGCGACTGTCTCCTGGCCTTGGTTTCTAGGGTCCAGTGGGGACAGACTGGCTGCTTCTCCCAGTCCTGGCCAAACAGCCTCAGATCCCTCAGTGCCCTTCGACATGGCTTGCTCTCTCCTTATGTGGGTGGGTGGCTGAATCCAGCCGCTGGGAGCCGGGCAGATTCCCTGGCTGGTGGCCACAGCCATCCTGTTGGCCTGAGGGCCAGAAAGAAAGGAAAGGGCACCAAAGAACCATCTCAAGCTGCAGAGCCCTCCACGCAGGGAGACACTGTCCTCCTATCCACAGCCCAGGGGCTGCTACAGGCGACAAGTAAGACCTCAAGAAGGATCCCAATGGGTCCCCTTCACAGTCATTGCCAGGTCACACAGGTTCCCAACAGGCCCATTCTGACTGGGCAAGGAGCAGAGGGGGACCCTGCAGACCATGGCAAAGCACAGAGGACACAGACTGGGTGGGCAGAGGAGGCCGGGGTGTGGGCGTGTGTGCGTGGGGCATGCAGCAGGGTGCTGCCTAGACCAGGGGTGCTCCTGCCCTACTCGTGGCTCAGGCTCAGTGTTCCCACAATGGCTTCTCCAGTACTGATGAGGTGGACCTGAACTTCCTGATGCTGCTCCCAGGCCACGCGAGCTTCTGCTGACATGCAGAATGAGATGGCACCCGGGGCCCAAGTGGCAGCAGGACCTCCTCTCTTCCCAGACACCAGGTCACCCGGCAGAGGTTCCTCATTGGGGAGTTAATAAGAATCAATAACGACAGTATTTCCTGAGCTGCGCCCGGGAGGGTGTGTGTGTTTCCTCATTTAACCCTCACTGGGTCCTGAGGATTAAAGGAGACCTGTTTTACATTCAGGCCCAAGGAGGGAAGGAACTGTTCAAGGTCACACAGCCTGGCAGATGGATCCAGATTGCAGGGGCCCCAGCACCTGCGCTTGGAGCAGGTTTCACGGCATCTGAAATCCGCCCTCCTTTCCCAGATCTAGGTTATGTGCACAGTGGGGCAGCAAATGTTCCGCCACCCAAACCCTGGCCCAGAAAGCCCAGAAGAGCCTCCCTGGGCAGTGGGGGCCATTTCCCCTCCTGCCGAGGCACGCCCTGCTCCTGCTCTCTTGCTCTCTGGGCCATTTGCCTCTTGGCCTCTGGAGATTGAACACCAGGCTGAGACAGAGCCCCCACTGGGCCAGACACAGAGCCAGCCCCCAAGCTGGTCTCATTGTGGCTCCCAGTAACCCACAGTTGTCTCTTCTCAGAGGCCTGTGAGGGTTCCAGAGCCACCAATGATCAGCAGAGTTCTGTGGCTTGGCCTGATCTGGGTTCTTGCTGTTTGGATATGGCTGAGCTCACAGGGTCAGAGCTTGGTGCTGTCAGGCCTTGTCCCCTGCTGGCAGAATGACAGCTTTGGGCTTTGGGGACCACAGGCTAGAGGGCAGTTTGGGGCGTGGGGGGCCTTCTTCCAAAAGGTAGTCTCGGGGGACTTAGCCAGAGGGGCCATCCTGACCCCCGCCACCTGCCAATTCCAGCGCTCCAGTCCTAACCCTGCTTCTTTGGGGAATCCCACCACACAGGACCCCACACCAAAGGACAGCGGAGTGAGGGGACTAGAGAGGGCACTTCCCGGAAGTGATAAAAATGTATCCACAGGACCCTCAGCTCAGGGCAAGTGTGGGGCTCAAAGGCCAGGCGATTCCTGGCTCCTTCCAGGGGCAAATCCCCGTGGGGACCGCGAGGACCTCTCTTCTTTCTCCCTGTACCCCTCCGTTCTTCTCCCTCCTCCCGTCCCTCCTCCTGGGTCCTCCCTTCTCCAGAGCGGCTCTCGGGCCCCGGGGTTACCGGGCTCCGAGGGACTTTCCTTCCCACGGGGGACCGAGCCTGCCAGCCGCCTCGACCCCGCCGAGTCCCGCCGAGATCCGCCCGCGTCCCGCTTACCCGCCAGCTGCGCGGCCAGGAACAGCCAAAGCCGCGGCTGCATGGTGTCGCCGCGGCACCGTCGGGCGGGCGGGTGGCGACGCGGCTCGGCTCCGTCGCCGCGGGAGCCGGGGAGGCGGGAGCGGGGCGGGGCCGGCGCGAGAGGCGGACGGCGGGGTCTCCGCCCTCGTCCCTGGAGGCCCAGGTCTCCACCGTTCTCCCTCCGCTTTCCGCTAAGGCGCCGACCTCGCTGACCTGTGCCAAGCAGTCTGTGCTTGAAGGCCTCCTGCCCCTGGGAGGTGCCCAGGGCATGGCGGTGACCCACTGTGTCAGCTGGAGAGGTTCGGAGAGGCCGGAATTCTCCAGGTCCTACAGGACGGCTGCTGGGGCTGACTTAACTGGGGGACACTGCTTCACTTCTCTTCTGTTTGAGCAGTGGCCGAGGTGACCAGCCTGGTGACCAGGGTTCAGCTGGACCTGGAAGCAGGCACGGCCATCCTGACTGTCACACAGGAAGATGAGGGAGGGAGAGGACTTGGGAGCTGGAACGCTGGAGGGGCCCCCAGCTCTGCCTGGGGTGGAGCTAGGTCAAATCTAGGCCCTGAGTCCCCAGGACTAGCTGATGGGGTGTGCCAGGACCCGCCCTGCCCCTGCACCCAGGGAGATCCAGCCTGGTGGGCACACTGTAGTTCGACCTGGCTTGTGGGTGTTAGAGATGGCAGGGCTGAGAGTGGGGAGGCTGTCCAGGGAGAGCTGGTGAGTGATGACCTACAGGGGAGAAGATGGCTGGGAGGGCTGCAAGGAGGGGACCGTCCGCAGGATCAGCTGGACAGGCCTGTGAGGGACCAGGGGAAGAGCTTGCATATCCCAGAAGGGATGGCCTGTCCCTGGAGGGCTAAAGTAGGCAGTGGGTGGGGACATTGTCACCTTCCCAACCCACTCTTGCTCATTGCTGGTGACCAGCATCACTGACCTAGGGACAGGGTTCAAAGTCTGGAAGGGAAGAAGAAAGGGGGTGCGTGCACTGAGTGTGGGCTTCTGACGGCTCACACCTCCCCTGTATTGTCGTGGCCCAGGAGCGGCTGATGAGGCCTGGTGCACACAGAAGCCCAGGGAGATCGATGGTAATACTTTGGGAAATTAAGGGGAGCCCGCTGGGTACGGTGGCATACATCTGTCATCCTAGCGGCTTGGGAGGCTGTGACAGGAGGATCGCAAGTTCAAAGCCAGCCTCAGCAACAGCGAGGCACTAAGCAACTCAGTGAGACCCTGTCTCTGAATAAAATGCAAAATAGGGCTGGGGTGTGGCTCAGTGGTTGAGTGCCTCTGAGTTCAGTCTCTGGTACAAAAACATAAAATAAAATAAAATGAAGGGGAGCCAGAGGTGGTGGTGTGTGCTTGTAATCCCAGCAACTCGGGAGGCTGAGGCAGGAAGTTCTCGAGTTTGAGACCACCCTGGGAACTTACCAAGACCCTGTTTCAAAAGAAAATAAAGAACTGTAGAACTGGGGCAGTGTAGTTCAGTGGTAGAGCACCCTTGCATTCCCACCAACACTTGCCGCTTTCTGTTTTGTGCCCATCCTTGTGGGTGTCCTTTTGTGCCCATCCTTGTGGGTGTCAAGTGGCATCTCGTTGTGGTTTGGATTTGCATTTCCCCAGTCATTAAGGAGATTAGCTTCTTTGCATGTCCCTCTTGACCATTTGTATTTCTTCTTCATATGTCTATTTAAAACATTTGTTGCTTACTTCTGGGTGCAGTAGTGTACAACGGCTGTTCCAGCAACTCAGGAGGCTGAGGCAGGAGGACTGCAAATTTGAGGCCAGCCTGGGAAATTTAGTGAGACTCTAAACAACTCAGCAAGACCGTGTCTCAAAATAAAACAGGCTAGGGGTGTGGCTCGGTGGTCAAGCTCTTCTGGATTCAATCCTCAGTATATATACACACACATACACATAAACATGCATGTTTATATTTTATATGCTACTCTTTGTACCCACTCTCTCTCATGGGTTCCTGAAAAACAACTTTCTCACTGAATGGCTAAGAGTCACTTCTTGTCCAGGTATTGGCAAGGATAAGGTACTCCTGGATGCATTAGTCAAGGAAACACTTGCTCTCCTGATTAATTAAGTCTTAATGATTTACTTCTTAACGATTAGGCCTTAATGATTTGACTCCATCCCAATGCCCTGGCTCCCTCTGCACCCTCCAGTGGCTGTTCCAGGGCTGGAGCGAGTCTGTTCCCCTCATCTGCAGCCCAGGCTCTTTCTGTCTTGCCGCTCTCCACCCTTAACTTGAGGCTTCAGGGACTACTGTGCATAGGGAAGGGAGAAGAGTGGGTGGGTGGAGCCTTTCTCTGTCCACTCTTCCATGGCCAGGGCTCAGTCACCTGTAGGGGTGCTGTCAAGTGGAGCTGAGTTGGGGCTGGGGATGTGGCTCAAGCTGTAACGCACTCGCCTGGCATGCGTGCAGCCCGGGTTCGATCCTCAGCACCACATACAAACAAAGATGTTGTGTCCGCCGATAACTAAAAAATAAATATTAAAAAAAACTCTCTCTCTCTCTCTTAAAAAAAAAAAAAGTGTAGCTGAGTTGGAAAGGGAGAGACCTTGGTCTGCACACGATCACACCATCAGCCATGCGTCTCACTGGGTTATTTTGGAGTTAGGTGAGACCCAGGGTTCGCTTTGTGATCTCTTGCTGGCTGATCTCCAAGGAGCCAATGCAGAGGGGGACACAAGGACCATTTTTATAAAAACCGAGGTGGCGTCTCACTGTGTGTCCAGGCTGGTCTTGGACTCCCAGGCTCAAGTGATCCTCCCACCTCAGCCTCCGGAGTCTCTGGGACTCAGTGTGCATGCTACTGTGCCTGGCAGTGTCCCCTTCACATGGGAGCAGTTTGGAAAGGCACTGAAGATCTTTCAATAGATCCACTAATTGAGGTGGCCATAAAATTTGGTGAGTGGGGCCAGGAGGCCAAAGCACAGCATGAACCTTTCCTGTGACTTCCAAGTGTGCTGCTCGTCATCCATCCAGGTGGACGACCTGAACCTGGAGCTGACCATTTGGTTCTCACAGGGTGCCTTTTCCTTTGGGCTATTAACACGCTGTGACTCTGGTGGCCCAGCCACCCTTGTGCCCCCTGCCCTCCCAACCTCCTGATCTCTGCCACATGCCAGGACCTACTCCGGCTTCTCTGCAGCTGGCGTGTGTGTGGTGCAGTCAGTGTTGGGGCGCGGGGACCTTGGCAGGGCGTCTCCGGAGCCCAGGGAGCCGGCTGGTTCAAATGCTCTCCGGCTCGTTCTCACGCTCTCCTCTCTTACGTTGTGCTTTAGGGTTTGTGCTGATTTGTTTTGAAATCGTGGGTGCAGGTTGGACATTTTGTCTCAGGATTTCATTTCAGGGCAGTAAAAATGCTCTGGTAAGAATGGTCAAGTCAAAGGTTCTTGTCTGACAGGTTGGGATGGGTGATTCCCAGGGGGCTGCGGGGCTTGCAGCGGCTGGCTGACAGGCCCACAGGGGGCGCTCTTTCAACAGCTGCGGAAGTGGCGGAGGGAGGACCAGCCCGTGTAAATGCTTTAGTGCACAGTGGTGGCTCAGGGTAGATCTGTGCGTGTGCCAGACCCTGGGGCCAGCACCCAATGAATGAGTGAATGAATGAATGAATGAATGAATGAATATTAAAATAGTGTGATCAGAAAACACCCAGAACATAAATCTAGTTTAGATTAGTCTCAGAACACTCTGAACTCTGAAGTCAAAGCTTTTGGAGCTGCTGTTCATTTTCCACTTGGAAATCTCACACTTAATGCTAGACCAAGTCAAAGAAAAACAGTATATACCACTTTTTCTAGTCTTATTAGGAAAGTGCTAGAAACACCAAACACATGGCCATCAAAGGGAACCCAAATGGAAGAAAAACATTGAATAACCTCCTCAAGTAAAGGGCTAATGATTCCACTGTCACCCATAAGAGAAGTGAAAGTAGGAGCCTCTTACTCAGAAAATCACATTAGGGGGCAAAGAAAGGAAAATCATGTCTCTTGAAAGTTTATTTATAGTTGGGCATTTTTCTCTTGAAAATCATGTGTCTTGAAAGTTTTATGGACATACCTGTAATCCAAACTACTGGGGAGGCTGAAACAGGAGGATCACAAGTTTGGGGCCAGCGTCAGCAAATTAGTGAGATCCTGTCTCAAGATTTAAAAAAAAAAAGGTGGGGGGGCTGGGGATGTCTTTCAGTGGTCAAGTGCCTCTGGGTTCAATTCCCAGTACTGGGGAAAAAATTTTCCAAGCTGGAGAGCTGAGCAGGGAAGCCAGTGGAGACTGCTTGGCTGGTCTACCCCGTCAGAGGCTCAGGTGTGGCTCCATATTCCAAAGTCAGGTGTTCACAGATACTTCACCACTTCCCCAGAGGTATGGAGTCTACTTTTATTTTTTCCAAATTAATTTTTCGATTTTATTGCCTTTACTCAAAAATGTTGAACAATATATGAAAAAGAATATTCAGGATTTTTTAAATTACCTAAAAAAATGGAAGTGCCTTATCAGTTCCCATCAATTCCAGGCCTGGGAGTGAGCCTCCTGTGAGAAAGAAATCATTCAGATGAGGTGAACTCTGTCTGTCCTCTCGGTGAGGCCTGGAATGGCTCAGAGGTGGGCGGAGTGCCCAGCGTATGAGGCCCTGGGTGGGACCCCTAGCAGCACCAAGGAAAGGCGGCCAAGGACAGGGTCATCAGCCCTTTCCCTGGGGAGCCTATTCGACCTGCTTGAACCCGAATGGAGACCAGTCTGGGCAAAACAACAGGACTCGGCTTCAAAAACAGCAACACACACGGCAGGCCTTGCCAAAGGTCCCTCACACCCCAGGGCAGGGGTCGGCAAGGGTCCCTCACACCCCAGGGCAGGGGTCACCTAGGATCCCTTCACACCCCAGGGCAGGCCTCGCCAAGGATCCCCTCACACCCCAGGGCAGGGTCACCAAGGATCCCTCACACTCCAGGGCAGGCTTCCCAAAGGGTCCCTTACACCCCAGGGCAGGCCTCGCCAAGGGTCCCTCACACCCCAGAGCAGGGTCACCAAGGGTCCCTCACACTCATGGCAGGGTCGCC